AAACGGTTTAAATTAAAATTAAAAGAATTATTGAGTTGTCACCCATTTTATACTGTGGATAAATTTTTTGTACATACTAGTCGGTAAGATTAATTGTTTTCTGGTTCTATTCTTATGTCTTGACTTAGTTCTTTGTACTGCTTATTTATCCAATATGACTTTTCCACATCCTAAAGTTTTTTAATTTTATGAAATAATAGATGAGTAATGAAAATGAAAAAAGAGCTTGTACTGATGCCTGAAACCTTTGAGAGTTCTATGTCTTGGTTTTGCGTTGTTTTTGGAAACTGGGAGAGTTTTGTTGTATATATGGTTGATACGTTCTTTTTATTTGTTTTATATTATGAATGCCTTGACTTGTTCCTGTGGGAATGGAATGTTTGTTTTTTTATCTGTGACTCATTCTATATCCAATGGTTGTTTCCCAGCCTGTATCTGGATCTATTTTTGAATTTTAAATAAACTGAAATTGACTAAGGCTAATTTTTATTAAGGGAAACACCTGTTGAGAATGGAAATACATCCAGTTCCCGAAATGTGTTTCTTTTAACTTCTTTTGAATCTGGACAAAGCCCGAGAATCCAGTGTCTCTAGACATGTAATGCTTGCTAGTATGTCCACCAAAACTACTGTATGCATTCTTAACATTTGCATTAGATTGAGTGTGGTCATCCTCATACCCCTACTGCTTGACTCTCAGGGAAAGAGGCCTTGGCACTCACTGGATATGAGGCGGGGTGGACCCCAGAGTCAGTCTGGTTATGGTGGGGATAACAAATTCTTGTCTCTGAAAAGAACTGAACCCTGATTTCCTTGTCATGCAGCCTGTGATCTAATCAATATACTGACTGAGCTACCCTGACTCCTGACAGTAAATGTTAATACATAAGCATACTGACCTTAAATCCCATGTGATTGATCTGACCAGATGCAATGTATTTGCCATCTGGAGAAACAGCAATGGCCGATACAACATTGGTATGTCCAGAAAGAAAAATCTGTCTTTTTGTCTGCCAATCCTGAACCACCACTTTGCAGCCAAGAGGATAAACAAAATGGAGTCCATCTGGATGAATATTCAAACCTTGTACTGTGGCACCTAATACGCAACCAAACACAACTGTCATCCAATAATTCCTTTAGTTCACAGTGATCATTGAAGGAACTATTTTATAAATAATTAAGTCACTTTAGTATGTAATATGTCACCAAATTTGTGACATAACTTCTATGTTTTAGGTTTATTAGACCCAAACTAACATAAAGTACATTAAATTAGGCAAAAGTAACATGACTACAAATACTTTAAAGACGTATAAATATATTCAAATATGCCTTCTGGGATGTGACAGTCTGGCAGACGGGTACTAACTTTTCACAGACACCGGTTGATCTTTTTCAGGACTGAATATCCTTGAGGATGGAGACAGCAGACTCCTACAAAATACTGGTGCTCCACTCCAATCCACAAGGCAGTAGTTTTTATAATCATCGCCATCAGAATCTTAATCTCACATTAGAAAATAAATATTTGTGTTTACTTTGGCAGGACTAGTAGAGACATCTGTTATGACAAACATAACTAGAACAAAATACTGCAGAACTATTTTGCTTAAACATGACAACGTTTGAGAAAACAAAATTTGTTTAACCTTTTGTTGATACAATTACAGAAAAAGTTAGGAACCAGTATTAACTATATTAAAATATTGTGTGAACATGAGATATAAGTAACTCCTCACCGATGTATTTGCAGATTAATCTCATTACTAAAAAAAAAATACGTCTAAAATTATGTGATTAAATTATTTTTTAAACTCATTTTGTTAAAGGGAAATATTATTTTTTGTATTGCTAGAAGAATTGAAAGGAAAATAGAGGATATACTTGGAGAGGATCAGTTTGGATTTAGAAGAGGAAAATGAACCAGGGATGCAATTGGGATGATGAGAATTATAGCAGAACAAACTTTGGAGATAGATGAAGAACTGTGTGCTTGCTTTATAGACTGGCAGAAGGCATTTGACTGTGTAAATTGGACCAAATTAATGCAGATCCTAAAGGAAACATGTATCGATTGGCGGGAAAGAAGATTGATTAGTAAACTGTACAAGGATCAGAAAGTTAGAGTGCGACTGGACAGAGGGGAGACAAGAGGTGTGAAGATTGGAAGAGGAGTTCGACAAGGATGCTGTTTATCATCAATTTTGTTCAACTTGTACAGCGAATTCCTTACCAAGGAAGCTCTGGATGGGCTTGGAGACTTCAAATTAGGAGGGCAAATTATTCAAACTGTGAAATATGCAGATGACCTTGTGTTAATGGCTAAGGAAGAAACTATGCTACAGGGTACGAGTGATAGACTAATCGAAATTGGAAGGTGCTATGGCATGGAAATGAATGTGGACAAAACAAAAGTAATGAAAATTTCGAGACAACCAACCCCAGTCACAATAAAGATAGACCAAAACAACAGGAGAATGTGAAATGTTTTAAATATTTTGGTAGCTTGTTAACAGATGATGGAAGGTGTACTTGTGAAATTAAATCTAGGATTGCCATGGCAAAAGCTGCATTTAGCAAGAAGAAGAATCTTTTTACCAGCAAATTGGACTTCAATTTGAGAAAGAAACTAGTGAAATGCTACATTTGGAGCATTGCTTTGTATGGGGCTGAAACTTGGACACTTAGGGCAGTAGATCAGAAACACCTGGAAAGCTTCAAAATGTGGTGTTGGAGAAGGATGGAAAAGATCAGTTGGACCGATTATGTGAGAAATGAAGAAGTGTTAATTAGAGTCAGTGAGCAGAGGAATATCCTACACGAAATAAGAAAACGGAAGGCTAATTGGATTGGTCGCCGGTCATGGTAGCCGAGCAGTCTAGGGCATGCACTGTCTTCGCTTGCTCGGAAACCGAGATCGTGGGTTCGAATCCCACTCAGGGCATGGATGTTTGTGTGCGTTTTTCTGTGTTTGTCTACAGGTAGAGTCCTTGCAACGAACTGATCACTTGCCCAAGGAGTCCTACCGTATGTGTAAGATCTAGTAAACCGAAGTGAAACGGAGAGTTTCATGGAGGTAGGCCTAGGCCCAAATTGGGGCTGTAGCGCCACAGGAAAAAATTGGATTGGTCATATCTTACGCAGTAACTGCCTTCTAAAAGAAGTTATTGAAGGAGAGAGAGAGGGGCGGATAGAAGTGACCAGAAGACAAGGAAGAAGACGTAAGAAGATGCTGGATGACCTTGGGGACGGAAGAGGATATTCTCATTTGAAGGAGAAAGCTCTAGATCACATTAAGTGGAGGAACTGGACCTGTCGTCTGACAGATTACTGATGAATGAATGAATTGCTAGTGGGGTGGGACTAAGTCCCTTATACTGCGGCCACTTCTGGCCTATTGTACCAGCCACAGATGATAGGTGAGGGTGATTGTGGAACAATTGGTGGAATGAAGATTGGCAGGGGAAACCGAAGTACTCGGAGAAAACCTGCCCCAGCGCCACTTTGTCCACTACAAATCCCACTTGACCAGACCCGGGATCGAACCCGGGCCGCCGCGGTGGGAAGCCAGCGACTAACCGCTTGAGCTATGGCACGGCCTAAAGGGAAATGAATAGAGACAATAAAAAAATTATGTGTGTATGTATATGTGTATATGTATATATGTACGCATGTACACTCCACATACACGAACCATCGGATGACTTTCAACGGAATACACGGTGTTATATTCCAGCAGATTAAATTTTTCACAACCACTGCTACGAGAACCTCAGATGCTACATTTTTACATAACACTGGCTAACAGAAATATTTACATTCTTTTAAATACATACCCTCGAAACCTATAACAGAAACTAGTTCTAAATCGTTCACTTCTTCGTCGGACATAATGTATTAATATTTATGTTTTCAGCAAGGAATAAATGATGTCTGCATGATAATAAAACAAGCAATTAGCACACAAAGCAATGATATACTCCTTTGCTCACTTAAACGATTTCAAAAACGGGCTTGTAGCCATAGCAACGAACAATTGAAAGCAGTAACAAGCGCAATCGAATGAGAAGTATCGAATGATTCGATTGTCGGAATTGAGGCTTTCACAGATTATTTGGTGTTACAGACCGAAAGACTGAGTGCACAGTTCATTCGAATGTTGTTTACTGTTGAATAAATATTATTACTAATGGCTTTACACCCAAACAGCGACAAAGAAACTGCACCTCGTTTAAAACAGCCTTTGGCTACTCTCTGACAAAATACATTTATTTAAACGAGAGTTTCATACGAGATTTAACTATTTGTTATGAATCGTTTCCGCCATTCTGCAGAGCATCATTGACACCACTGAAACAGCACAAAAATACACCTGAAAACTTCTCAGTACGTAGTTACATCGATGCTGTTGACATTCGATGAATCATTCGATAGTGATAATCGATATTAAATTCGAGAACTGTCAATGACGCAATCTACCGGGAGCATTTGTTTACTCTTAAAGTGATTTGAAGGTAACGTATAGGTGAGGAGTTAATAATTAATTTAAAGTCGAAGGGTTGAAATTGAATGCTTAGCTGTAATTGATTATAGGAATAATAAAATATTCTTTGAGACTGACAGTATCAGAACTCGACGTGATCCCCAAGGAAAAGAATTCAGGTCTTAATTCTAATCGGAAAATATTAAAAGAAATTTTAAGTTACCACGGCGTGAGTATCATGATTACTGTAATGTGGAATATGTTTTAACCCTCAACATATCGTACTCCGCTCTGAAAGTACCAATCACTGGACTCTTAGAAACGCCCAGAAGACTGTAGAGCAATTGGCACAATGTTTCTGCTACTTAACGTTATACAACCGTAAACCAACTGTCCCCAGTTGGTCATGTTCGTTCGTCTTTACCACATTTTGCATGTAATTTTACAGATGGAGGTGCTAGCGCAGTACAAGAACATGAAAGATTATATGTTCCAAGACCAACGGCTGGAAACATTTAGTGAATGGCCGTTTGATGAAGATAGTTCATGCAATGCACATAAGGTATAATATAAATTTATTACTTTGATGTCTAAGCCGTATAAGAATCAATGGATAATTAGTGGATGTGTGTGCCAGTTGAATTTTATTGCCAAAGAATTCATAGTGATGCATTTTTATAATGATGTTCAGAAACTTAAGATTGCTGTTTTCTGTGATATGACACCAGTAATCCCAGTAGAAATGAACCTATATTTTGGAAGAATCTGCTGCCTTCAGGGTACAGTGAGGATGGAGGGTCAGGTTCCTACAAGGCATGGGTACTTCTGTACCAGATTACAAGGTGACATCCTGGAAGGCAATAACCTTCATATTCACCACCATGGGACCCTCAAATCTGACTCAGCCCAAAATGCTTGTATGTCTGAAAACTGTTTGCTTGGCTTACTGTTCAACCCTGGAGATGGAAGCAAATACATTCCTCCGAAATGTAAACCTTTACTGGCATGCACAGCATGACGTATCAGAGGACACTCTTCATATTTACTGCTGTGAGAACCTCAGATCTAATGAGCATACACTAAAGTTGTGTAAATGGTTATTGTGCCTCCCCACATGCTGTAAACCAGAGTATTAGTTTTGTGCTTCTGGCCTGCCTGCTCCCTATAATGTTTTTCACCAGAATTCAGGGCTGAGTCATGTGCACTGTGACTTAGGAGGTATTAATTCGCTTAGTGGTGTTTGGAGTCCAACTGGGTCCACTTGGCATGGCGGCCACTGATTGGCCTATTGTAGCCTGCCCCGGGTGATTATGATGATGGAGAATTTGGTGGAATGAAGATTGGCAGGGGAAACTGAAGTACTTGGAGAAAACCCGCCCCAGCGCCACTTTGTCCACCACAAATCCCACTTGACCAGACCCAGGATCTAACCCGGGCCACCGCGGTGGGAAGCCAGCGACTAACTGCTTGAGCTATGGCATGGCCTAGAAGGAGGTAAAGGAAGAGGGAGGAAGTGAGGATACATAGAACATTCAGTGATGCCACAAGTAACACTGTGAAATGCTGGAGTTCAGTGAATGCAGTTTTTTTTTTTTTCGTTAAATGTATTTTGCTCTGAAAGCTCTTACAGATGGTTGTTAGTAATGCACATTGCATAAGGAACAGGCTTGAACTTGCAACAGTGCAGTCCCACTGTCAGTGCTTCTAACTAATAGGTTCAGAACAGGTAGCTCATGCTGTCTACCAGCAAACCCCCTTATGCTGGCTTGTCTAGTAGAAGAAAGTGTAGAGGTCTGTACAAAATAGATAACTTACAGTCCAGTGCGACACACACGTTCACCACACTTCGGTCTTCACTCGCCTTACATGTTTCGATTCAATAGAATCATCTTCAGAGGCATACCAGTATGAGTAGGAAACACTGTCACCAGTATTCATACTGGTACGCCTCTGAAGATGATTCTATTGAATCGAAACATGTAAGGTGAGTGAAGACCGAAGTGTGGTGAACTTGTGTGTTGCACTGGACTGTAAGTTATCTATTTTGTGATTGTTAGTGTGACGGACCAGAATGAGACAAATCAAATTAGTAGAGGTCTGTAATTTCATGCTTCCAGATGGCAGAAGCAGGGTTCATTTTCTGTGGCTCAAAAAGTGAGCCTGACCTTGCACAATGTCAAGTGTGCCTCAAGAAGCTTGATGGCTGGGAACAAGATGATGAACCATGGTATGTGGGATTTTTTTGCCTGCAGTTAGAAGCTGATACTGTAGTGTGGTAGCATGTTATGGTACTCTTGGTTGCAGCTACAGATAACCAGCATAATGTTTTTGTGTTGTTACTTGGAAAAAATATTGTTATGGCTTAAGGGTGTGTGACTATAGATAGGGTTAAGATTGGTGAATTGGATTTATTGACCACTTGTACACACTGCTCAGAACTACAGATCACTGACACACACTAGTGGCTGCAGTCTATTAACATTCTCCACTACGCATTTCCTGGTAATGGCTTCTACCAAGGGAGTTTCTTCAGCTTCCTGCACTCAGGTCCTCTTGTCACAACTGCCCGTGCAGAACTCTTTTATCAACTGACAACTCAACTAACTGGGTCCCAGGCTGGCGGCCATTTCACACCAACCTCTTAGTCTTCTCTTCAGTGGCTGACTTTCAACTGAACTGTCTCACTCACCAACCAGCTACTTTACGTCACTTCACTCAACAGAACTGGATCAAAGTCAAAGTTACTTTATGACTGATAGTTCACTGCCAGTCAGTTTATCTTAGTGTGAAGCCTCTTTGAGACCCANCCCCCCCAACTGAAGTCCTTATGTAACATCCTCTCTGAAGAGGTGGGTTTGTCTGTTAGGAATACACTTTGGCCTTTAGTCAAGTGTATATTTCACACATATAACAGGTTATTGAAAATTTTCCTTTTGCACTACATACAAGTCCTCTGTCAGTACAGGCTTTACAGAGAACATCATGCCTAACTTACATATCTTATGCTACAATGGCAGCTTAGTCATTTGAATGGTCGTAGGCTCGACCACTGCCAAGTTTAAGCCTCTCATATTTTTGAACTGGATCCGCAACCAACTGCTGTGAGAACCTCACATCCAACAAGATATGTTCTCTCTCTGTTGTCTCTTGCCCTCAGCAAGCAGAATCTCAGGAAATAGTGAAACCATCTAGAATTACAACTCAAAGCATGAGTTAAAATTATGTATTATTTATACTATATTTTCTAAAGTTTCTTCTGCTTTGTAGGAAAGAACACAAGAAGCATTCTCCATCATGCTTGTATGTGAAGATTGGGAAGAAAGAGGCTGACATGACTGTTGGCAACTATTTCGACTTACCCTTGGAAAGGAGAAGAAATATCATGGTTTGTATATTTTGCACATTTTATGTTCAAGCATTTGCAAGCTGAAAAAAGTATTGTAACATGTATGGAGTAGATACTTCCATGGTAACACAATAACAGTGGGCCGTTGCGTAGACAATGCTGAAACAACAAAAGCGTTCCCCCAGAGATGAACAACAGAAGGCCGTTGAGTAACAGTGGATGAGACGAAACACATTACCAGTGTATAAAGAGTGTTCTCGAAGCAACGGATTGCCGAACCCGTAAGATCGAACCTTGGCGAATGGTGTCTCGTATCTGGTCCGCATAACACCTACATAAGCGAGAACCACAGAGCTAATTAGCCTTCATGCAACGCAGTTGGAACCTAGCCTTCATACAAGACAGTTGGAACCTAGCCTTNCGGTCCGCATAACACCTACATAAGCGAGAACCACAGAGCTACTTAGCCTTCATGCATTGCAGTTGGAACCTAGTCGAGACGTCGCAGAAGTCACGTGATACCACAAGCGATAATAATTGTATGGTGTATAAGTGTGTGTCCAATAAAGAGTCGCTACATCCGAGACCCACGTGAAGTTATTTGTCGCATGACATACACAACACGTGACAGTATTATGAAATTGTAATCAGTGAAATCAGTGCCTCAGGCAGTTGAAGGCAAATACCAGCATTATAGTACGGGTTTCCCCTGTCAAGTGTCATCGGACTGGTGTCTTGTCACTGTTCTCAGGCTGCCCAAGAAGTGATCACCCACTTAACATGGGCAAGGTAATGGATTCCAGTGACAAGTACATTTTTAGTTTTGATCTAATTGTAGACATATTTAAAAATAAAATTACTTCTCCAGTATTCAGTTCCCATTAAATAGTTTGATGTAAAATAATCTTGATCACTAGGTAGATTAACGTCATATAGCTCAACTGTAAATATATGTGTTCATTTTGTAAGCTTAAAATCTATGTATATATAAGAGTGTTACTGCATTATGTGCAAAGTGCAGATAAGGAATTAAATAATATAAGCAAAATACATCAGTTTGAAGGCTATTCTTGCTGTTTGTGGTGATTACTTGTTGGACTTAACACATCATTTTTGTGACCATCAGAACAATTCATGTGAGGCATGTCATGAAGGTGAGAAAAGTAAGGTTGTCCCAGTGCTTAATTAAGCACTACACCATGGAAACATGAGGGAGTGGAGATAGAGCTCCTGATGTTTTTATATCAGCACCAGATGGAAGTAAGTGGTCAGTTTCGTGCCACAAGCCCATTGAATAGGAGGCTTTGGGGGCTCCAGAGCTGCCAGAAATCAAACCATGAGTCCTCAGTTGTCCAGTCTGTAGCCTAGACATTTTAGCAACTGAACTATCCCAGCTCTTATGGGGCAGCCTGTATAGAGAAAACTGTATTCCCACACTAAAATGGCCCTTTTTGGAATTTCACATAGTGCCCCATTTATAACTCTCCAAACACACAATAACAGTATGAACACGCATGCTCATGTTACCAGTGCTTTTATTGTGGAAGAAACAAAGTGACATTGAGTTCAGAATTATATGGGGTTGTTTTCTGTACATATTTCTCTACAGAGTGCTCTTTGGGAGAAATGGTGGGACAGAAGGCCTATTACAAGGTAAAGTTGTCGCTATACTTAACTAATTAAGCACTACACCATGAAGAGGTGAGAGAGAGTGAATGTATAGATTCATGCATTCTTGACCTCATCACTAGAGGGAGGTGAGTGGTCAGCTTCATCCCCAGCACCTATTGGATAGGAGGCTGGATGGGTTTGAATGACATGGAGAGGAGAAAAATCTTGCCCCTACCAGGACTTAAACTGTGACCCTCAGCTGTCCAGTCTGTGTCACTATACTGACTGTACTATCCCAGCTTCCCACAATGACCTGTTGGCTATTATACATACATATGGGTTGTATGTGCGCCTGTGTGTAATTTAAGTCTGTTGTTTCAGAAAGAAGAATATGAAACCTACCGGGCTAGCTTCATAGAAATGGCTGCAGAAGTAAGGAAAAAAATAACCAAATTACGTAAATTAAAGAAGTAAAAGTATAAATACTTCTTGTTCATCTGTATGCAAAGTACATGAAGAAATGCACAAGAAATTATAAAAAGAAGTTACATATTCACATCTTACTGGCTTTGCTAACATGACATGTTTCACCAACAGTAATTACGTAACTTAACCAGCTTATCTTAGTAACCATATGTCTTTTACAATTTGTTTCCAAAGTTTGGTAAAATTATTGTATATTATGATGTTATTTAAGTTGCATGAATTACGGAAATGAATGATTCCTAGTATGAATTGATGTATTGTACCTCAAGTTAACATTTTCCTTTATTAAATGCTCAGTTTTACTGATCCTCAAGTCAAGAAACTCAGTGTTGAATTTCATTTAAGATTATCCTTAGTTCATTTATTTACATTTGATGGATCCTTTATATGGCTGGAAGACCAGTGGATATAGAAATAGTCAAAGACAACAGGACAAATCTCATCAATTATGTAAATAAAAATTAATTATACTTAATCCATAACAATTACACACATTATCCAAGACAAATCACAATGAGTAAGTCAACATATTGTCAATAATCCAAGAAATTTGGTATTAGTAGATTTAGCGATCTGATTGTTACCGCAGTCAATATGTATATCCGCTGGACAGCTATTCTTAGTCGAAAATTGTATAAAATATGTTTTATCGAAATTTAGTGTCAATAAATTAGCTTTAAACCAATCATTTATGTTTTTAAATGTTTGAATAATATTGTTTTCATAATCTAAAGGGCTAGAATTCGTGATAATTATGCTGGTGTCATCTGCAAAAAGAACAGGTTTGAAATGACTAATTATAATGTTTGGTAGGTCGTTTATATATAAAAGAAACAATAAAGGTCCCAGTATTGATCCCTGGGGAACACCATTATTAACTTTGCCCCATCTGGAATGAATATGCCAATTATTGATTACAACCCCTTGGTACCTATCTTTGGGATAGGATTTTATTACTGCATTGGCCTTACCATTTCATATAATTCTAGTTTAGATAGTAAAATGTCACGTTTGACATAGTCAGAAGCTTTCCTCAAATCACAGAAAATGCCACCGACTAATATTTTGTTATTCATTGCGTTTAATATTCATTCATTCATCACTAATCTGTCAAGACAACAGGTCCACAGTCTCTTCCAAAACAGTTCCTCCACTTGATGCGATCTAGAGCTTTCTCCTTCAAATGAAAATATCCTCTTCTGTTCCCAAGGTCATCCAGCATCTTCTTATGTCTTCTGGTCACTTCTATCCACCCCTCTATCTTTCCTGCATTTAATATATCTTTAATTAATTTATGTGAGGCCATTTCTATAGATGAATTACTCCTAAAACCATTTTCTTCATTGTTGATTATATATCAACGTAAGAGGGGTAAGGGTTAAGGTTCCTCAGTCACGGTACAATGATTGCCACTTCTGGGAGGAGGCAAGAGAAACAATGTCCTTTTTCTGTGACCAGGCAAATGCTGACTCAGATGATGCCCACAATTTAGAGACTGAGGGGGTGGGAGTTGTAATCTGTTGCTCTCCTTTCATAATATATCCTCAGTCAACCGTCCCTATTAACTTGAACAGGGCATTGCCTCCCACTGTCCCCCCCCAAATTATTTTTAAACATAATGCATACACATAGAAACTCACCCACTAAGAAGGAGAATATTGCTATTCATTGGTTCTTTAGTGGATGGCAGTACCAGTAGTGAAAGTCTGGGCAGTTTGCTCGGCAGTATATCCTGTGTCAGCCTGGAGCATTATGGAATGTGATAGGAACAGTCAATAAAATCTCATCCATAATAAATTAGACTTTACTTTCTTCAGAAATTGTCTGTCAACATAAAATAATCACTAATCAGTATATTTCTTAGCATCTTAGCACAATTTTCAATATTATGATACTCTAGAAACTAATTTTTACACTTTATAGCACAACCTAAGTTTATTTGCACATTGCAGAAAAGCTATAGACTGTTCTTTTAACTGTTACACTTACCAGCACTGTTCCTTCATGCAAAAACAAAAGTCTGACAACACACCAAAATAAAATGTTGATGTTGTTCACTTACATACAAAATAACATTCGATATACAAAGACCATGTTAATCTTCAGAAGTGTTACATTGTCCATTACTGTGTAATGCATTACAATCCAAAGAGGTTCTAACAAAGGAGACTGCATATAAGCAATGTACCAACATAACTGTCCATACTGAGGCCATGGAGAGATGTTCCCTGGATGGGGGTCACAGCACTTGAAGCTCCCCCCACCCCGACTACTCTTGTATTCCTTTCCAGCTCCTGTCCTACGTCAACCAGCCCAAAGCTTGTTGCTAGTGTATGTATTGTTAACAAGATAAATCCCAAGACTGGGAGGAATGGTTGGGCTTGATATGTCCCACCCACCTACTGTTATTCCCCTCCAGAAACGGGAGATCACTCAGTAGCTGTATGTGCAGTCACAGCACCATATTCTTGTATGTGTGTGCAGCAGCAATGCAAAGCGAACACATACATGCTCACATTTAGTTTCAAAATCATAATGATCACTAGTAGGTCCAAGCAGTGATTCAGTTTTGGTGTGGAAAATTCAGTAAAACTTGTCAAGGTATATATATATGGAAAAACTGACAAATTAACATATGACCAATGTCGTGCATAATGGAAGAACACACAATAATATTCAATTGAAGCATATCTGCTAGTGCAAGGATACAGTGTATTTACATGGCAAGATACTAAGATACAAAACTGAAGATTGTGGTCTTCTGGTTATGACACCATATAGTCTCGTAGATGGGTACCAATATTTCAGAGAAATGTACTGCTTATATTTTCAGAATTTTCCCAAAACATCTGCAACCTCCTACAGGCCAAATGGTGTCATAATCTACAAGGCCATAACATAAATATTCACCACCATGAAAATCTCAATATATATATATATATATATGGTATATGTTATGCATGCCAACCACATATGGTTGGTATGCATAACATAGTTGGTTGATGCACTAGGCTACAAGCTGGAAGGTTGCTTCAATTGACGTAACCGTTGCAGCCATATTATAGCCCTAGGATCAATTCAGCCTCTAATAGAAATGAGTACCAGGAATCTTCCTGGAGGTAAAGGGGTAAAGAATCATCTGGGGCAGGCTACAATAGGCCAATCAGTGGCTGCTGTGCTGAGTGGACCCAGTTGGACTCCACCCCTCACTAAGCAAAGCTCAGCACTCTGCTTCCTTAGTTTACTCTTTCACCACGAAGATGGAGCCAGTATGTTTCTTTGAAACATCAGTAAAACTTCTGCCAGACAACATGGTGTCACACCCCCAGAAGTCAGTGCTCATTGTAGTTTATCTTTTTCCAGAAGTCATAATCTGTGACTTTCAACAAAACCAATATATGCATCTTTGTGTTAAATTTCAGCCATATTAACATTCAAGAGATGCACATTACTCGGCATTTCAGCCCTTTGACAAGATCCTGGTATAAACACAAATAACAGGTTCAGTATCAAATTCATCAACTTCTGTCCAAATCATGGAATAATAATAAAAAAATACCATTACACAATGCAAGAATGTCTTTGGATAGGAGTATAAATGCAGAAGTTTATAGAAAAAAGAAAGTGGAGATGGGCTTCAGAACTTTCTGTTAGAATAAATATAACAAAATACTGTCGGCACTGTGATGCCGCTGCAGAAAAGGAAGTCTACTGTACAAAGTCCAATGAAGGGCAGAGAACAAGCTTGCATGAAAGAAAATACATCAAATAATATACACAGTGCGTTATACAAGCCAACTCTAGAAGAAGCTAACACACGCGTCATGTCTCCATTGGCTCAACACTGATTACAGCTGTTGGTATGTTCTGCTTGTTCGTCCTTCGTGGAACTTTTGCTCCCATCACACAATTGTTCTGAGGCTGCTTCATGCCATGTGCACTCTCTGCTCCACTCTCGTCTGAGCTGAGTGACTCCTGACACTTGGCTTTCCTCCGCTGGTTGCGTTTTGGGGATGGTCTGCCATCACCTGACACCTCATTATCCGACACTGAAGAATCTCTGTTGGATTTTCGTCTTGATTTGCCAGGGGATGAAGATCCAGTACTGCCCTCTCTTAATGCTTCAGTCAACTGTTTCTGTTTCGCCTCCCACCACATCTGCTGCCTCTGGACTACCTCTGGATATCTGACACACAGATGAAATAAATAGAATCCATATTAATACTCTTTGTGAGGAAGATGTGAGGATTGAATGCTGGAACTTCACAAAAGGTTTGGAGGAAAACACTGTTGGTGAGGTTAACACATTAATACAAAATAATTATACATTTTATCAAATTATAAAAAGAATATTCCAGAAGACAGAAATCCCAATACAATGCATGTTGTATATGATAATACCTGGTAGGTAATGAATCGTTGCATAAGGTAATTGATATTGTAACGTGTTTACGTTACTGAAGACGCCGTAGAGATGGTTAATTGGTTTATTTAACAATCTTCAAATAACGGCTACAATTAATTATCTCACAGTTGCGGGGTTTCATACTTTATAACCCTAATCGCATTAATCTGTTAACACTGTTGCGGGGTTTCACGACTTATAACCCTATGCGCAAATCAGTTCACTCTGTCTTCAGTAGTCTACACGTTTACAGTAGGGGAGCTTTGTATCACTGTATCACACGCTCCCACTTACACAATCACACACACGTCCGGATCTTCTTTCCGTGATGGCTGCTATACTCCAACTGTAGTCCGCTGACTGGAGAACTGTTGATAACACACTCTCGTAGGCTTGCTCGGAACTATCTTCGGTGATGGCCACGTTATAACTCGGCGGCTGTCACAGCACAACTGAAGTCGCCGACTGCTACAGTAGAACTAGTAGAACTCCCTCGTACCAGCTGTGCAGCTCACTTATATAGGCTGCAGTGCTTGCCGGTTGCGTAATGAGTGCCACGTCACAGTAGGAAGTTGATTACGGGTACGTAGCGTTGCGCGTTACGTCACCGCGGAGGGGAGTGGCGGGGCGGGAACTCGCCTATTACCGTAGTAACGCGAGCGTTACGTTACCGCCATGTACCGCTGGGGAGGTAGGGGTGATCCATAGCTCAACATGTCACAAAATAATTATACATTTTATCTAATTATAAAAAGAATATTCCAGAAGACAGAAATCCCAATACAATGCATGTTGTATATGGTAATACCTGGTAGGTAATGAATCGTTGCATAAGGTAATTGATATGTTATATGGTAAATTGGTCTATGAAGGGATTGATGTGTTATATAAGGTAATCAGTATGTGGTATGCTGAACTAGTATACTTACACTTACACCTGTAAGTGAATAAAGGTACACATTATAAAGGAATCCCTAGGGATACATAATCCAAAGAAAAGACTAAGTGAATAAAGGTATACATTATAAAGGAATCCCTAGGGATACATAATCCAAAGAAAAGACTAAGTGAATAAAGGTATACATTATAAAGGAATCCCTAGGGATACATAATCCAAAGAAAAGACTAAGTGAATAAAGGTATACATTATAAAGGAATCCCTAGGGATACATAATCCAAAGAAAAGACTGTATCAACATGAAATATCAAATGATTGTTAACTTGGCCTTTCATCGGTGTTATCACATGAAAATAAGGTTGTTTTTAACTAAAGGCGAAAGCGGTGGTCCCTCCTTTCTCAAAAATTCTGTCAACATTGGTCAAAGTCCAGGACAGACTCACATACTGTTAACAATAGAATGTTCTGGAAGCTTCTTAGGATGATGCAATGAATGATGCTAATAGAAGCTTCCAGAAGGTTAATGCTCAAACTGGACCATATATATACTCCACTCTGGGCGTTATCAAGCACTTTTTGATATTGAAGCAGCCTGCGACCATGGTGTGGAGCAGAACTGTCTCATATTAGAATTCGGGCACTGCCCTTGTTAAGGCAGACCACAGATTTTCTTACCAAAAGGGTTTCTCTAAAATAAACGTATCAGTTAACTTCTACATTTTAAACTTTGTACTAACATATAAGCGGAAACAAGGACACTTACAAAGAAAACCAAACACAAAATCCTAGCAATGGACATGAAACTTTTGAGAAGCAAATATGATGTAAAGCTATCCCTGTAACAGGGCATGAAAGGTCTACGGGGTTCTCAGATGTTGAGGCTCCCATATTTTCTAGACAATTGGCTCACAGATGGCATGGTTGTCAGCCTTATGCGCTGGCTGCCCTTTACCTCCAGGAAGATTCCTGTTACTCATTTCTGTTATCTGCTGAATCAACCCCACGGCCATAGTGCGGCTGGAAGGATAAGGTCAATTGAAATTAAAATGACATCGGGAATTGGACCTGCAACCTTCTGGCTTGTAGCATAGTGAAATAAGATGGGACAGAATTAGAAATGACATTTTTTGAGAGGAAGCTGAAATTAAGAATTTGTTAATAGACTCAGAAGAAAAATAATTACAATGGTTTAGCAATGTAACATGAATGCACAGAAGAAAGACACTGAGGACATTAGAAATAAGTGTTAAAGGAAAGAGGTCTACGAGAACCCAGAAGAAGTAGGTTTGGCCATGTACAGAGTGATATCAAGAAGTAATGAAAGAGCTGGCAAGAAATTTAAATGGAAAAACTGCGGGGGAAAAAAGAGAAGACTGGAGATTTTATGTACATGCAAAGGATGCAGAGGTAGGATTTATCCTCCTGCTTACACACTGAGGATGTCATATTATTTCAACCTGGTATATATCCAATTCTGTAATTGCTAAGCTGTCATCAATTCAGTATGTTCTGCAACTGTGCATGAAAATAACTATCATGAAGTATACTGATGTGGCATGAGACATGAAGAATGTGTTGATATGCGGTTGGTCATTTAAAAGGCCACAGATTCTTTCCCCATCCTCCTCACTTCTGTTGGTTTGCTCAGTGCTCCAGCCTTCTGTGTCCCTTTACCCATACCATCCATTCTATGCTTGGCTGTGGAGGTGGCACATTCCTTCAAAATGTTGTTGTACAGTAGAGTTTTACCAATTTTTCAAAGACAATTGTTGCCTCCACTGTCAGGGCAAAGATTATTATTATTATTATTATTATTATTGGAGGGGGTGGGTTTCCCCATGCACCGCGACCAGTTGTTGATCTACTGTACGTCCCCCTTTGATATTCTACCAATCCCCATACCCTGCCAGTACTGGTGCACACCATCAGCCCCGTTGAGCCAACGAGGTCGGCCCCCGGTACCTTGATGCTTCCCCCCTCTACCAGAGGCATTGGAAACTTGCCTAATTTTCTGATATGTTGGGATTTTGGACTTTATCCATCGTCCTGGTTTTTAAGATAACAAATAAAAACACGACGTTTCGGAAACTGGATCTGTTTCCGTCCTCAGGTGAAGGAAAACACCTATTCAGTTGGGTCCCTTAGAAAGAGCTAGCCTCAATCACTGGACAAACCAATGTCACAAAACATGAAGATTATAAACACCTGAGACCAGGCTAAGTCCATGAGAGCTAATAAGAAAAAATATTCATGACAAATTGTAGCAAACACTTACAAGCGTGGAACCAGGATAGATAGATCTGTAGAAATTTAAGCCTGGTCTCAGGTGTTTATAATCTTCATGTTTTGTGACATTGGTTTGTCCAGTGATTGAGGCTAGCTCTTTCTAAGGGACCCAACTGAATAGGTGTTTTCCTTCACCTGAGGACGGAAACAGATCCAGTTTCCGAAACGTCGTGTTTTTATTTGTTATCTTAAAAACTAGGACGATGGATAAAGTCCAAAATCCCAACATATCAGTGTGTTATACACCATCGTCAGAATCCTATAGTAATTACTTGCCTAATTTTGCTCAGAGGTCTCCTAGAGACATGAGGATCTTTTACGTGCCGTAAATCCACGACACGGGACTCACGGCTTAAAGTCCCTCCCGGAGGACTTGTTCCCTGAATTTTTCTGCCCTTAAAAATTCCACGACCTCCACCAGGTTTGAACCTGCGTACCTTGAGTCATGAGCTGGGAACGTTACCCCTAGACTACGGAGGCCGCTTCAGGGCAAAGATAGTAAATACATACCTGACTACATGAGGTCACTGCCAGGAGAGCCTCAGATTTCACAAGTAGTGACATATTGCGTGAGTCACCAATCCAGAAGAAGATCAGAGCCTCAACTGTATTTCAAGTGGCAATCTTCACATAAACAATTATATATATCTTGTGTAAAACATCTCTGAACGTATGTCGTATAGGGACCAGACAACTTAATGGAATTTAATGTTCAACTAAATATCTGATATGTTAATTCTGATTTAATTAATATGCTGAAAACAGAATCTAGTAACTTTCTAAAGACGATGTAACAATCTACATCATTATCTGATGATGGTGTATCCTGAAAGACGTTTCAGACTGACAATGGAAGTCCATACACACTTCCTCTAGCTCTACATGAAGGCTCTAAATGTATATCTCAATCCATGCAACACCACTAAGTAGGCTCACCGGCTGACGAAGTCCTTGTCAAATGGGAGTCGCAATTCCCAGCCCTTGTTGACCCGTAACCTTGAGATTTGGTCCAGGATCTCCCTAATCTCTTCTGATGGCAACTTGATCACACCTGACACTCTCAGTCGATCGACATAACGATTCTGAGTAAATAAGTATAACTGGAACAAAATTAATTCAACATGCCATCATGATAAACATTTGTATATTTCTAGTCCATTTTCTGCCTAAAGCATGCCATGCTACGCCTGTCATGTCATAATCATCCACATAGACAAATCGCTAGTGATGGTATCTGTGAGGTGCTCAGTTTGAATCTTGGCCAGGACACTGACTATCCTCACGTTTTTCATGGCTTTCCTCAGTCTCTTCAGGCAAATGCCAGGATAGTACATAAATCAGACCATGAATGCTTCTTTCAACATCTTTTCCAGCTGTAGGATTTGGGGTTCTTACAGTATTGGTCTTTTGGGTTGTGACATAATGTAGCCTGCTGAATGTGAAGTGTCGTTTTGGAGGAATATGTAAGCCCCATCTTCAGGGTCAAAGAAACAAGCCAAGCAAGAAAGCAGCTTGACTTATTCTTTGACCTTGAAGACGGAGGCGACAGGTTCCTCTGAAACATCAGATGATTTCCAACATATTACATGGTGTTGTATCCCAGAAGACTAAACTTTTCATCCTTTCCAATTTGGTGTTCATCATCATGCAACCAACTGATGCTATATAGTTAGTCTGAATTACTGACAGCACCATTAAATAAAATACAACAAATGGGGGGAGGGCAAAGCAGCCAACACTAACTGATATTCAAACCCAGCACCTCCCAATTACAAGGTACACGTTCAGTCACCTCATTACTCCAGTGAGTTTCCAACCTGTTCATGACTGCATAAATCAACACAGAAGCATTCTGTTTAGACTGTGGATTTCTCGGTTGTCAAACTGCATATTCCTGTAGATGGGCAGGCAGCCACTACAAGACTACACAGTGTCACACCGGAGTAGGCTATAACTGCCATGAAAACCTGAAATTTCTATTCTTGCAGGTTATATTACGATGCTTTCAGTAGCTACACTATGCGGTGTCCAATTGTGTGATGACAAAATCTGAAAATACTTGGAAGGAAGTAGTTGTAACCTAAATTCAGGTATAGACATTTCTCTGCATGCACTGAGAAAAGCCATGAGATACCTCAGATGGGACAGCCAGTGTCCTGGCAAAGGTTTGAACCAAGTGCCTCCTGAATGCCATCACAACCTTAACTCCTTCAGTCAAGATCTAAAATCTTGCAAGTTCTCCTAATTATGAGTTCCCAACATTAAATACACAGATTCAGCATCAGACATGGGGCATTTACATCAAAAGCTGTAAGGCAAATTTAATTCTGGTACACATTAATTCACTGTACCTGCTACAACAAACCAATGAACATCAATAGAACAGTCATTATTTTATTTATATACGTTACTGATGCATGGTCAGTATTGTTATTTACGAGTACATTGAGTGTTATCCTGCCAAAGAAAAAAAAAAAGAGAGAAAACGGAGGAGCAAAACATTTAGCTAATAATCGAAATGCTGAAAGAGGCAGAGGTCCGTGTATCGAACCATGCTCTGCTACCAACAAGTATAGCTGACTGAGCTGTGAGCTGAAAAGTCAGAAATTCAGGGCTCAATACTTGGTGGGTGGAGATTTTTCTCTTTGCCACTATTTCCAGACCAGCTCAGCCTCTTATCCAGTGGATAAAGCAGCCAGTGAGACACCAGCCACTCACTTCCATCCATCTAAAACATCTCTGAGGGTATACTGTACCTTGATTAGACAACTTTATGGAAGAAGAGTTTTCTGTGTTCAATCAGATTTCCAGTACAGTGATTTTAGATCCCACTTATGTTGAAGATTGAATCTAGCAACTTTATTAACACAGTGATCTACATTACTATTTGATGACACACCCTCAGATATTTTAGACAGACAATAGTACTGGGTGTTAAGAAGAACTGGGGCTATACCTCCATATAAAGGTGAAGGTGCAAAGCCAATCCTTAACACTTTCACTGATAGGATAAGCAGCCAAGTGGGCATAAGCCTGGTGTACTCCACAGTTTGTATTATACAAGAACTGCTTTCAACTTACGATATAGTCTCTACCACGACACATGAGTTCGGCAGGGACTCCACTGACACTGCTGGCTGTGTCCTTTGGGTACAGAATGTCACTCCGCACAACCCAGTTACCCTGTACTAGAACCGCCACCTGCTGTACTGTCCGTAGGAGACTGACTGTATCATCAGTCAGTCCCAGCAGTGTTACCAACTGTGAGAACTGCAGTAACTTGGCTGCAGTAGGAAACAAACACAATATTATTCAGCAAATACTCAATTGGAAAGCAAAGACCTGTGTTTGGTTTCCATATCTTCATTTTCATTCGGGCAAAGAGAATAAAATGAAGATATAACAAAGAGGTCACATCAATCAGTACATTTTTCTCTGCCATTGCTGAAGAGAATTCAATGCAATTTGGTGCTGGACATATATAGCAAAGGATTTCAAATTTTAAACAGTTCTGTCTTATGGGATATAATGCTGTGTAGTCTGCTGAAAGTTGACTAACATTTCAGAGGAAGATGTTGCCTCCATCTTCACGGTCAAAGAATAAGATCACCAAGAAACTAGCATGAAATCAGGTTGCAAGCAGACTACATAGTGTCACATCCCAGAAGGCATAATTCTTTATGATCATCAATGTGAGAATGTCATATCCAACATTTCAAATTTTACTTTTGAAGATCCGTAGTCTTCTGGGTTGTGATGCTCCAGATAGGTACCCATGTTTCGCAGGCACTAGATGCCTCCCTCTTCAAAGCAGGACACTATGAAGAAGGATGCACCAGGTTGCTCCACAACACTGGTAACGATGCACCAGAATAACACATCGCATAAGAGAGTGCGCTTCACCATCGCTATTGCAGGACCTCTGATCTCTGAATTTTAGTTCTGTTCACATAGATATTAAATGTAATAAACGTGAAGTTTAAATTTAATATTGCCAGTTGTCTCAAATACTGTACAAAAACTGGTAACATAAAACAGACAACATAAGGATGTATAAACACTTTTTCCACGGTGTACAATTAAAATAACTTATTTCTCCACCCCTAATCAGTTAAACACTTCCAAAGATTCCAGTCTCCTAGGTAGTGACAGCATGTAGTTTTGTAGGTGGATACTGTCATATCAGACAAACATGCTGCTGCCATCTTCAGGGTCAAAGTGACTATGGTAAGAAACTCATTGTTATATAGCGCATTTCAACCTGAAGATGGTGACAACCCAATAAAGACAGGAGGGCAAGCCTTACACTTGTATATATGTATGAATAACCACTGTACCTACTGACAGTATAGTTTAGTTTCATGAAAGATTGTGAACATATTGCATGCAGTAAGTCTGCACAGTTTGGCAACTTAAAAATGAAACGAGCCCTTTGAGAAGCCTGTCTGCAATACATGGTATCTCAAGCATACCTTCTCTAAGCAGGTTCCTAACTTGATCCACAACAGGAAGGAGCTTCAGGTGGCTAAGAGACATATCTGATCGTCCTGCCAATGCAGATGGATTTTCTGTCTCCTCAATAGGAACCAAATACTTCAAGTATTCCTCCACTCCCAAGCTCAACTCGTTCACCCGTTCATCAACCTTGGTGCAATACAGCTTCCCCCTCTCAAGCTGCAAGGTCAAAACAATACTGTACATGCAATATCCTGACCTAACTATACTACTTTACTAGATACTATAGGGTTCTGACAATGGTGTATATCACACAGAGATACTGGGTTTTTGGACTCTGTCCCTTGTCCGGATCCTAAATAACTAAGAAAAAACATGTTTCGGAAACTGGATCTGTTTATGTCCTCAGGTGAGGGAAGACACCTACTCTGTTGGGTCCCTTAGAAAGAGCCAGCCTCAATCACTGGACAAAGTCCAAAAACCCAGTATCTCTGTATCCTACTTTACTTTTTCAGGTTTCATCACCTACCAACACATGCTGTCTGCCTGCTGGGCGTGTCACAGTCTTGCAACAGCCCCACTAGCCACCATCTTATAAGATAAACAACTGCAGTGCTTTGGCCATACAAACAGAATGAACAGAAGAAGAACACACCTAATGCATTAGCACAGCAATAATGCTTGACTTGTATTCAGAAAGGGTTCACTTCAAACCTTCATTGGAAGACTGGTGATCCTGGCAGAAGTTTGACAGTACATCCAAATAAATGCTGTGACAGTACCTTGATTAGGTCACTACTGCTTCCCTCTAAATCCTTTGCAATTCATCTGTGATCCCACTGCTCAATGATGCACAAACTAGCTACTGACATTGTCATAAAATTACCCTGCACCCCAAAATTAACAAAATTAAACAAAACAAAGATACTGAGAAGGGCATTGCAATTAACATTTAAAGAAAAGAAACTATGGGGTGACAAAAAATGGTTCTGCTGAATACTGGAAGACATTTATAGGAGAGGAGACACCTGGCAAGAAATTGAAAATGAAGAACTGTAGGAGGAAACTAGAGATAGGAGACTTTTCATCCATCAACCCACATATTAGGAAAACAATAAGAGACAAAGAACGTTTTATTTATTTATCACTACTGCTGCTGAAGGAACTTCCCCATCAAGTTTATGAAATGGCAGCAAGTTTTGGGGAAAACCTGTGATGTTTACTTTCCTTCAAATGCTTTCCTATCCTCTGCTAAAAGACTTCTGACATTGTAATTACATTGCTCCTGTTCAATGCCAGAGGCCTCTGCCATTGTCTATGAATTTATTATGATATCCTGAGTATTATATCATTGCTACTTACATTCTTCAGCATATTTTCAAACACATAGGAAGAAATGGCAGGAGTTTAAATTTTCCCATAATAAACTTTTGTTTTACTGTTCCCACAAATTAATTTGTAGCTGGTAAAAGTAAAATTGGAAATAGAAGGGATGGGAACAGGTTAGTCTAAAAAAAAGCTAGTGGGAACCATAAGTCAATGATTATACAATTCAATAAGCCATTTCTGTGTATAGTTTACACTAGCACAGATTTCAACTACGTTATGTTTGTCACACATAACCTCAAAGTTTCAAACTGCTGCCATATTTGCAATGGCAGATATGAGAAAGAAAAAGCTGCATACACAGTTTGTTGGCATAGTGAAATTCCTATTTAATGAATATGTGCAGGAATGGCTTTTCTTACAATAAATCAAGGTTTTAACTGACTGAGGATTATGCAAAATGACATCAAGAACTGTTCATCTTCAGGGAATGTGGTAGTGTAGCTGGTTGAGGCACTATGCTACAAGCTGGAAGGTCATGGGTTCGAGTCCCGATGAGGTGGATTTTTTTTTTCAATTTACCTAATCCTTTCAGCTGCATTATGGCCCTGGGATCAACTGTCTAGAAAATGTGGGAATCTCAACATCTCACAACCCTATGGGGCTTCACAGCCTGTTATAGGGATACCTCTTCCTTTTTACTTTTCATCTTCTTACAAGGCTTAACCCTTTAAAGCCCAGTGGTTAATATACAGAGTGTTTCACGACTTTAGGGCATAACTGCAGGAGGTGATTTCCTAGGTCTTTGTGATTAAAAAAGTTTGTATAAACATGTGTCCGATTTTGGACGGTTACAGAGTTATGACCGCTTTTTCATTCCCGTACACGGCCTCATGTGAACCGCGTCTGTCAGCTGGCGGGTCACTATTTTTAGCCAGCTACAGACAGAGCGTTCTCGTTATCTCGACACTTGAGAGGTACCTAAGGCGGGGTGGGTTGGTATGTCTGGCACGGTTTGTAACCAAGTGGCAGCCTGTGTTGCAGCCAGCAGTGGCATTTTCGAAAATCAGCATTAAACACCAATAAATTCAAATTAAAGGTAATTTCATGAAGTTCACTTTTCATTCATACTTTAAATGTATCATGTATTATGCTGGTTTATTATTTTGTTCTGTTTTATTGTCAGTAATTATTACCTTCTATTCTGAGTTTAAAACAGTCAAACTCCGTAACTGTCCAAAATCGGACACATGTTTATATGAACTTTTTGATCACAAAAACCTAGGAAATCACCTCTTGCAGTTATGCCCTAAAGTCGTGAAACACCCTGTATGTACCACCTGCTTCCCACAGAGTGTATTTGTGTGCTCTGTATGGTTCTCACAATAAACAACAATTATCTCCCTAAACAGCATTAACCGGTTGGGCTCTGTAGCAGAAATACGAACTGAGCTTCTACATATTATGTACAAGGAATTATCTGTTTCTACACAAATACAGCCAGATAATCGATAATATCCAATTAATTTTGAAAACAATTAATGCCATATGAGGTAAACACTGAAAGAACTACAGCTGAGAATCAAAGCAACTGTAATAGTTTTGGTGAATGTTCAATATGCCAAACTGTTTACAAAAGCTTATAGTTATGTGGCAATAACTACCAGCATACCATAATCACATGAAATCAAACTATAAAATGTGGAAGGTTGAAAATTTCTTACACTAAATGTGGGATCTTTACTAAAATCAAATTCAGTGACTACCAGAAAATAACATGTTTATGTTGGCCTTCAGCTGAGATCAAGGAACAATATTCATTAAATATGGGATTTAATGAAATGTAGGAACACTAAACCACGATTTCACTGTATGTTCACGATCCACCTGCAACAAAATTTCACACAACCACCTCTGACAGAACACTATTTATTCACATTCCACGAACAACAAACTACAGTGAAACCTTTTGTTTATGGTAGCACTGGAGACCAATAGATTTCAGAGACAGACCAAAGAAAATCTTAAATGGAGGTAATTCAACAGTGAAATTACAGACTTGGCATCAGTGAAATTGAATGTCGAATGAGGGGAAACTTTAAATCCAGGAACATTAAAGATGGGTTCTTACCTCAGTTCACACAACTCATAATTATTTGTTTATCGTGGATTTCTTATTTAATATTGTGACATGTTGCGCAATGGAGAAGCCCCCCCCCTTTTGCATGGTGACGTAAGACGGCGTGAGGTAACAGCGAACGGAATATAAGCTGGCTGAGCAGCAAGCGAGAGCGAGTGTGTTATCAACAGTCCTCAAGGCAGCAACCTGCGAGCAGAGTTGGAATCTAGCCAGCGGCAAGTTACGAGTGAAAGTGTGTGATAATCAGTGACAGTTTGTGATAACTGAGAACTGATTGGGAGTGTGTGATACAGTAACACTTATATAGCTCCCGTACTGTGAAACGTGTACACTCCTGACAATAGAGTGAATTGAATATTGCGAATAGGGTTATAAGTTGTGAAACCCCGCAACATTGTCATAATTAATTGTAGCCGTTACTTGTAGGTTGAATAAACCATTTAACAATCTCTACGGCGTCTTCAGTGACCAAACACATTACATTTGGTGTCAGAAGTGGGATTTGGACTTACACACGTGACCGACTGGATTCGAACTCAAAACACGTTACATCATGGCTGTTCTTGAAGGACATGTTTCTGACTTTTTATTTATGTAATCTAAGGCCTTAACTATTTATATTTTATACTGTTGTAATTGGTCTGTATGTAATGAGTGAGGACAAGTTCTGTATCCATCTTGTGGATGTCTGGAATACTGAATAAATACTAATATTAATACTAATACTAATACAACTGCAATGTTGTAGTTATCATCAGTAGGAAATACACAGATGGGCTACCATCTATACGTACATACATTACATTCTGTAGATCCAAAGTAAGTCAGAATGACTGTAGGATGTAGAACAAGTCATACAAATACAAAAGCCATAAATACAGTACAACTGAGACACAACAATGCATGACATTCAAAAGAAGTTTCAAGGAAATTTGTCACCCGGTGAAACAGTCATTAGAGGGACACACACAGGCTGTATTCCCCTTGAAATAAGTAAGAAGCCTGCAACAGCATAACTTAGTAATCTGACTAGGTGAAAATATTTTATCAGTGTATATTTCTGGCCCATGATAAGTGGGTCCCTTGTCACCACAGCATGGCAAGTCCTCACATTGCAGATGGAGGAAATGGCCTCTAGATACAGCAAAATCCTTAGTACTGGTGTTTTCCCTGATAGATTGAAATTTGCTATAATCAGACCACTAATTAAAAAAGAGGAAACTTAAAAATGTTAACAATCAAGTTCCTTCCGTCAAATGTGACACTTTTTTCAAGTTTTCCACCTCGTCACCACCTGCCTTACATGTTTCGGCTCACCACGGAGCCATCATCAGAGGCATTTATAGTAGAAAAAGAAATCACCAACACACAAAACTTCACTTTGTCCAAGATAGCCACGTTCCAGTTAATTAAAATAATTACAAATAGTTAAAAT